AAGGGCATGCACATGGGGCCACAACGGGCGCGACTCCTGGGTGTCTGGGTGTCGGAAGCGCGGCGCTTGGGCAAATTGCAAGAAAGTCCAACGCAAGGCCATTCTTCAGTAAGTTGCAAGCAAGTCTCCAGCGAGAGCGCGACTCCAGTGCGCCGGGAGAACGATTCCGGAATAAATTGTAAGGAAGTCCCAAGCGAGAGCGCGATTCCTGAATAACATGCGAGGAAGTCTCGGGCGGGAGCGGGGGTCCTGGCTAAATCGTAAGGAAGTCTCAGGCGGGAGCCGTTGTTGTTGTAACCCGGGGGCCAGGGGCCCAGTTTGAGCAGGAAGACTTTCCCTGTCAAAAAACAAGGTGCGAGCGTCGAGGGGCACACTTTGATTGAGAATAACCCCAGTGCGACCCTACCTAGAAGTTGGAGCCCGTAGGAAAGCAGCATTAGTTGCTATGCTATACTATGTCATGCTATGCCATGTTATGCTGCGCTATGCTATGCTATGCTATGCTATGCTATGCTAAGCTGCGCTATGCTATGCTATGCTATGCTATGCTAAGCTATGCTATGTCATGCTGCGCTGTGCTATGCTAAGCTATGATATGCCCTATGCGTTGCTATGCTAAGCTGCGCTATGCTATGCTATGCTATGCTATGCTATGCTATGCTATGCTATGCTATGCTATGCTGCGCTATGCTATGCTATGCTATGCTATGCTATGGTATGCTTGGCTATGGTATGCTATGATATGCTATGCTAATGCAGCGCTGCGCTATGCTAAGCTAAGCTAACCCTCTAGGCAGAGCCTAGGTAGTGAATTACACCCATGCTAGTGCTTTACTTTGCTGTCGCTGCTGTTGCTTTGCCTTTGCTTTGCAGCTGTGCTATGCTATGCTCTGCTATGCTATGCTATGCTATGCTGCGCCGTGCTATGCTGTGCTGTGCTGTGCTGCGCTATGCTATGCTATGCTATGCTGCGCTATGCTATGCTATGCTGGGCTATGCTACGATATGCTGTGCTGCGCTATGCTATGCTACGCTATGCTATGCTATGCTGTGCTCTGCTATGCTAAAGCTCAGCGACGCTAAGATGAAGGTAAGCTAAGCTAAGATAAACCTTAGCTAAGATGAAGCTAAGCTAAGCTAAATTGAAATAAGCTAAGATAAGATGAGATAAGCGACGCTAAGCTAAGGGAACGTAACTGGGGGAACCGCGGGGCGGATGCCGGGGGAACCGCCCGGGGCGAGCCGCACTGCCCGGCCCTTTAAGCACAGAGTAAGAACCCTTCTAGGCAGAGCCTAGGTAGGGAAAATGCATTGAACACCTCTGTAACCAACACCTTCCCAAGACGATCTTTGCGTAACCAGATCGTAACCAAATTCCCCATTTTCGTAACCAAATCATACCCCCAACAGTCCGGCCATCGAGGCCAGCTCGGCATCTGTCGCACATTGCTTTTCCTTTGCCTTTCCTCTGCTTTGCTTTTGCTTTTGCTTTGCTTTGCTTTGCTTTGCGTTGCTTGTGCTTTGCTTTGCTGTCGCTGCTGTTGCTTTGCCTTTGCTTTGCTGCTGTGCTATGCTATGCTCTGATGTGCTGCGCGGTGTTATGCTGTGCTGTGATGTGCTGCGCTATGCTATGCTATGCTATGCTGCGCTATGCTATGCTATGCTGTGCTATGCTGGGCTTTGCTATGATTTAATGTGCTGCGCTGTGCTGTGCTACGCTCTGCTATGCTATGCTGTGCTCTGCTATGCTTAGATCAGCGAAGCTAAGATGAATGTAAGCTAAGCTAAGATAACCTGAGCTAAGATGAAGCAAAGCTAAGATAAGATGAAGATAAGGTAAGCCAAGCTAAGATCAATATAAGATAATGCTAAGCTAAGCTAAGATGCAGACAAGGTAAGCTAAGCTAAGTCTTTAAGATGAATATCAGCTAAGCTAATATAAGGTAAGCTAAGCTAAGCTAAACCTGCGCTAAGATGAAGCTAAGATGAAGGTAAGCTAAGCTAAGATGAAGATAAGCAGCGCGAAGCTAAGGGAACGTCACTGGGGGAACCGCGGGGCGGATGCCGGGGGAACCGCCCGGGGCGTGGAACACTGCCCGGCCCTTTAAGCATACCGAGTAAGAACCCTTCTAGACAGAGCCTAGGTAGGGAAAAAACAGTATGCACCAGTGGGGGGGATCAACAATAATTATTCTTCAGAAATGAGAATCCAACAACAACAACAACAGCAACAACAACAACAACAACAACAGCAGCAGCAGCAACAACAACAACAAACATTTTAAGTCTGTTCGCCTTTATCTGCTCGAGTGTCCAATAACGCGTATTTCCCAAACCCTCGCTACCCGCCCTCTCTGTCTTCGATCGAGCCCCTTTTGGGTGGTATACCTTTCTTACCTGCAGGCCGGGCACCGGCAAGCGCGGGGCGGCCGCGGACCGTCGGCCTGGCCAGCGGCAGCGCTGATCGGCGGGGCGGCCGCGGACCGTCGACCCGACCCCCAGAGGGACGAACAGGGGACCGACCACGACGGGGACGACGACGACGACGACGTCGACGACGACGGCGACGATGACGACGACGAGGACGGCGACGACGACGACGACGAGCGAAAGCGAGAGCGAGAGAGAACGACAGCAGGGCCACGAAGGACAGGAAGTAGGCCACGAAGGGCGACAGCGGGGACACGAAGAGAGTGCGTATGGGGCCACCAAGAGCGCGAACGAGCGGGGGCCACGAAAGGCAGATAATGCGGGGCCACAGAAGGCAACGATGGGGCCACTGAAGGTAGCAACTGGGCCACGTAGGACAGTGAGTGGGCCGCACACGGCGACAGCGGGGCCACGAAGGGCATGCACATGGGGCCAAAACCGGCGCGAACGAGCGGGGGCCACGAAGTGCATACGTATATTGGGCCGCGGAGGGCAAGAACGGGGCCACTGAGGGCAGCAACGGGGCCACGAAGGGCAGCGAGGGGGCCAGGAAGGGCGACAGCGGGGCCACGAAGGGCATGCACATGGGGCAACCACGGGCGCGAACGAGCGGGGGCCACGAAGGGCATACAGATATGGGGCCACGAAGGACAGCGAGGGGGCCACGAAGGGCTGCAACGGGGCCACGACGGGCAGCGATGGGGCCACGAAGGGCTGCAACGGGGCCCCGAAGGGTTGCAACGGGGCCACGAAGGGCAGCGAGGGGGCCACGAAGGGCTGCAACGGGGCCACGAAACAAAGCGAGGGGGCCACGAAGGGCTGCAACGGGGCCACGAAGGGCAGCGAGATCCCGATTCCAAGGTAATCTGTGAGGGAATCCTAAGCGTGAGCGCGACTCCTAGGTGCCTGGGTGTCGGGAGCGCGGCGCTTCAGTAAATTGCAAGGAAGTCTAACGCAAGGGCGCTATCCTATACTAAATTGCAAGCGAGTCTCCAGCGAGAGTGCGACTCCAGAGCGCCGGGAGAGCGACGATTCCGGAATAAATTGTAAGGAAGTCCCAAGCGAGAGCGCGATTCCTGAGTAAAATGCGAGGAAATCTCGAGCGGGAGCGGGGGTCCTGGCTAAATGGTGAGGAAGTCTCAAGCGGGAGCCGTTGTTGTTGTAAACCGGGGGCCTTCGACACAGTTTGACCATCAAGACTTTCTCTTATAAAAGACAGGGTGCGAGCCCCGGGAAGGGCACTTCAATCGAAAAAAACAATGTGCACCGGATGGGGGGGATCAACAATAATTATTCTTCAGAAGTGAGAGTTCAACAAAAACAACGAAAATCCACCTCGAGGAATTCCACTTCAGAAACGCACACAGGGACAGTGAATGACCGTTCGGTTCAGCCCCCTCACTCTCATATATGTCCGAGTGGGGGGGCCGAACGGTCATTCATTGTCCCTGTGTGCGTGGCAGAGTAAGGATTTCGTCGTGAGAATTCCGCTTGTTGCGTTGTTGTTGTTGTTGTTGTTGTTGTTGTTGTTGTTGATGTTGTTGTGGTTGTTGTGGTTGTTGTTTGTTGTCGTCGTCCCACCCGCGACCCACCCGCGACCCACCCCGCAACCCACCCCGCGACCCACCCCGCGACCGACCCCGCGACCCACCCCGCGACCCACCCCGCGACCCACCACGCGACCCACCCGCGACCCACCCCGCGACCCACCCGCGAACCAACCGCGACCCACCACGCGACCCACCCGCGACCCACCCCCGACCCATCCGCGACCCATCCGCGACCCACCCGCGACCCACCCCGCGACCCACCCGCGACCCACCCTTAAGGGAGGAAAAACCACCCGGACCCGACAATTGACGTTTACTACACGGCCCTGGGCGTTGACTAAACAACCCTGCCTTGTTCGATTCATTCCTTGTGTGCGTTTACTAGACGGCTTCGTTTGTCGGGGTGATTCTTATAGGGGTGGATATTTTGCCATCTACACCCGCGACCCACCCGCGACCCAATAGCGACCCACCCGCGACCCATTTGCGACCCACCCGCGACCTACCTACATTGGTTTAACGAAAGAATCGGCGCCTGCGGCGGGCTCGTTGTATAATTTGTGAAAACTTTGGCGGCTGCGGCGGGCTTCTCGAGAGCCTCGCAAACTGCCGACGCCCCCACCGCCCCCTCACTCTAATCCGCATCTGCGGGGTTCTACGTATCAGAATTCACCGCCTGGGGAACCGATGCCCACCAGCGGGCGGTGGGTGTGGATCGATGTTGGTGCCCAGGGGGCCCGAATTTATCCGCCCCCACCGCCTACCAGGGTCACCAAAGATCGCCCCCGCAGGCGGTGGTTCTGGACACATCCCCGCCCCGGACAGACTGACAAAATGACATCGTCGAAGATCTGGGCCCCTAGAATCCGACAGTCCCTTCCCTCCTCCTCCCCATCCCCCTCCTCCTCCTCCTCCTCCTCCTCCTCCTCCTCCTCCTCCTCCTCCTCCTCCCCCTCCTTCCCCTCCTCCTCCTCCTCCTCCTCCTCCTCCTCCTCCTCCTCCTCCTCCTCCCTGCGGGGCTTCCTTCTCTGGGTACCCCGTGCCCTCGCGCACGGAGGCTTTCGAAGGCAAGGCCAAGTACCCGGTGATCCTGCCGGGGTAGTCCTGCTCGAGCAGCACGGACCGCAGGCTCTCCTATCGGAGGGGGAAGAGGGACGAGGAGGAGGACCAGTGCAAACCCAAGAGTCATCAACTCCAAACTCCCTGTTCGCAGGCCCCTCCAACGGTTCATTTCCATTGAGGGAACCGCCTGCCCCGTTGGAAGACAAGTGTTTGAAGATCAGGAAGCGTCTAAAACACTGCTCTCAGGATTTCAACGCCACGTATAAACCTGACTGCTGCGTCTTGATGATCCAGAATCGTGCCAGACAGCGTTTTTTGGGGGGAACTTCAACACCACGAATCAACATAACTGTTGCGCCCGCATAATCCTGAACCCTTCCAACAATAAAAATTTCTGGTACGCTGGTCATGGGAATCCGTGAAGCTCTTGCAACTGTTGAAAGCAAATGCTCGCGGCGCTAAGGCGATAACCACAGTTTGAAAAGGAGCCGCCCTCAATACGTGAAACACTTGCAAATATTTAAAACGGATGTGCGCGGCACTAAAGCGATAACCACATTGTTAACAGGAGCCACCCTCAATCCGTGAAGCTATTGCATATTTTTGTCAAGGAAAACGAATGTACGCGGCGCTAAGGCGAGAGCCACATGTTGAAACAAAAACGCCTTCAGTCCGTGAAACTCTTGCAACTGCTCTTTATATATATATATATATATATATATATATATATTGTATATATATATATATATAGATAAAAATCGAATGTGGGCGGCGCGAAATCGAGAACCACATTTTGAAAATGAGCCACCCTCAACCCGTGAAGCTCTTGCAACTGTTTAAAATGAATGTGCGCAGCGCTACGGCGAGAGCCACATTTTGAAAACGACCCGCCCTCAATCGTTGAAACTTTTGCAATTTGTTTAAACGAAGGTGCGCGGCGGTATGGCGAGAGCCACATTTTGAAAGCGGCCCGCCCTCCATATGTGAAACTGTTGCCACTGTAGAAGCTTCAGAGTCGTACGTGGTGAGGACGTCTCAGGCGAAACGCCCGGCCCGCCCTAAAAATTGGCCTCGGGGTGCGACAGGGGGAAGTTATCTATGAGGCGAAAGAATGGAGAGAGAGAGAGAGGATGCGGAGAGGAACGGAGGGAGGAAGAATGGGGTGAGTGAGGAGGAATCGAGGAGGAGGAGGAAGATCAGGAGGAGGATCTGGAGGAGATTGAGGCAGAGGAGAGAGAGGGAAGAGGAGGAGGAGGAGAAGGAGGAGGAGCACCATGGAGGCGCAAGAGCCTCGCCTTCTTGCCTCTCGTTTCGCATCTTTGGTCAGGCGCCCGGGTGCCTTTTCCTCCTCCTCCTCCTCCTCCTCCTCCTCCTCGTCCTCCTCGTCCTCCTTTTCCTCCTCCTCCTCCTCCTCGTCGTCGTCCTCCTCCTCCTCCTCCTCCTCCTCCTCCTCCTCCTCCTCCTCCTCCCCCTTCTCCTCCCCTACTACTCCTCCTCCTCCTCCTCCTCCTCCTCCTCCTCCTCGTCCTCATCCTCCTCCTCGTCCTCCTCCTCCTCCTCGTCCTCCTCCTTCCCCTCCTCTTCCTCTCCGCCTCCCTCCATCCCTCCCCTCCCTCTCCTCATGACGAGGAGAGGAAGGGAGGGGAGACGGAGGATGAGAACCTCATCCTCCCTCTTCTTCCTCTCGTCCTCGTCTCCATCGTCCCTCTTCCCCCCCGCTCTCCATCTTCCTGGGAGACCTCCCCTCGCCCCTCCTCTCACATCTCCCCTCGTCCACCTTCTCCTGCCCCTCTGGCTCGAAAGGCCGCTGTCCTCGAGCGCGTTGAAACCCTTCGCGGTGGTGAGGTGGCTGGGGATGGTGGTCATGCACATTGCTACGTTCGGAAAGGTCGCCTCGTCGCGGACCTCTGACGTAGTGTTGTTTTGTTCCATCGCGTGGCCCCCTCGATCTCTTTCCCAAGAAAACCGTTTTCTCACATCGGGTCGTTTCCTGGTGGTCCCAAGGCGAGCCAAACCACGTGCGCCAAAACTCATGAAGAACCGGTTATCTTCATTATTCTGGGGCCATGAAAACAAAACAACAACAACAACAACAACAACAACAACAACAACAATCATTTTACCCGAACGCGTGGTGTTCTCCCCAGTGCCAGGGTTTTCATACGACACCAGGCAATACCCCCACTTCGTGGGGGGGCATTACAAGCTCTACCAAATATCCAAACGACTCTTCGCGACCACCCAAACCCAGCTTCCCGCCCTATGACGTTGGGACACTTCACTTCGTGGCGTGCGGACGACCGTGGCTACTACACTGGCGTGGGGTACACACCCACAGAACTTGGTCACTTATTCGGGGCGCGCATGTGCCCAGCATGGTGCAATTGTGCCATACAATACATAATACAGAGAGACAGAGAGAGAGACAGAGAGCAGACAGAGAGAGAGACAGAGAGAGCGTGCGCGCGCAAAAAACGAATGTGCGCGCAAAAAACGAATGTGCGTGCGAGCGTGGAGATTTCGGCGTGCGCGCGCAAAAAACGAATGTGTCCCGCATGGTATTATTTGACAGGGATGATGGCCTTGGCAGGTGCGCAACCGTTGTCGCAGAAGTTCGAAAAAGTTGCTCGCAAAAGCCCGTTTGACAGAAATGTTTAAAAAGTGTTGGGTTTCCTACGAATCCGCAAGAGCGCGCGGGATGAGATTTTGACATTTTTTTGTTGAAAAACCATTGGTTTTTTGATGTTTTTATGTTAAAATCGCTCCGAACACTAAGCTTTTGGAAGGATTTCGTCTTGCGCGCGCGAATGTCCACTTTACCTTATTTTTTGCAAGGGATTCTTGAAATTTGATTATATTAGAACAAGAAATGTCATTTTATAGTGTTTTTTGCAAGGGAAAGCGGATTACAACAAAACAACCGGATCTTGATCACATCGAATTACCTGAGGCTTCCTCACGAAAATGATGAAAATGTAGCTGCGGCCTAGGCGGCGCAGGGGGGGCGTGCACCAGGGGGCCCAACAATAATTATTCTTTAGAATTAATAATGTTCAACAACAACAACAACAACAATCATTTTACCCGAACGGGGAGTGTTCTCACCAGTGCCAGGGTTTTCATAGGAGGCGGGCAATACCCCCACTTTGTGGGGGGGCCGGTTCAAGCTCTACCAAATTTCCAAACGACTCTTCGCCACCACCCACACCCAGCTTCCCGCCCTATGACGTTCGGACACTTCACTTCGTGGCATGCGGACGACCGTGGCTACTACACTGGCGCATGGTTTCAATGACTTCTTGTGGTAACATCTTGTGGAAACTAGCTTAGTATACGACGACGACGATTTGAAGGGCCTACGGTGCGAAAAATGATTTTATGTTGCGCGGTGCTAAAATTCCTACGAAACCCAATGGTTTTTGAAGATTTCGGCGTGCGCACGGAAAGAAAAAACGAATGTGTCCCGCATGGTATTATTTGACAGGGATGATGGCCCTGGCAGGTGCGCAACCGTTGTTGGAGAAGTTCGAAGCACGTGAAGAAGTTGATCGCAAAAGCCCGTTTGACAGAAATGTTTAAAAAAGTTGGGTTTCCTGCAAATCCGCAAGAGCGCGCGGGATGAAATTGTGACACTTTTTTTTTTAAACCATTGGTTTTTTGATGTTTTTATGTTGAAATCGCTACGAACACTAAGGTTTTGGAAGGATTTCGTCTTGCGCGCGCGAATGTCCACTTTACCTTATTTTTTGCAAGGGATTCTTGAAGTTTGGTTATTTTAGAACAAGAAATTTCATTTTATAGTGTTTTTTGCAAGGGACAGCGGGGGGGAACAAAACAACCGGATCTTGATGACATCGTATTACCTGAGGCTTCCTCACGAAAATGATGAAAATGTAGCTGCGGCCTAGGCGCGGCGAGGGGGTCGCGCACCAGGGGCCCCAACAATAATTATTCTTTAGAATAAATAATGTTCAACACCAACAACAACAACAACAACAACAACAACAACAGCAACAACAACAACAATTGCATGAGCACAGCCTTGCAAAGGTCCGCGCGCAATTCTTGGAAGGGGCGGTGGACCTCCCTTCCCAAAACCTCTTGGCGGCGCCACCGCTTCGAGGCGCGCGGCATGCACGTAGGAAATTTCCCCATACAGTGCTTGCGATTCGTGCTTGTTTTATTTCTTCTCTTGCTAAGGAACTGGGCTGGTGTCGCGGTCAGGCGGTTATGTTGTCGCTGTTGCCGCTTCGTCGCCGACTCGTCGCCGCCCGTCGTCTTGGCCAGTGCTGCGATCTGGCGACTGTGTTGTCGCCGTCGCCGCCCAGTCGTCCCCTCGTCGCCGCCCGTTGTCTGGGCCGGTGTGGCGGTCTGGCGGCTATGTGGTCACCGTCGCCGCCCGTCGCCGCCTCGTCGCCGCCCGGTTTGTGGGTACTGTGGGTCTGTGTGGCGGTCTGGCGGCTACGTTATCGCCGTCGCTGCCCCGTCGCAGCCTCCTCGCCGCAGGGATCGTGCACCGCATAAAGTGTAGACTGTACCACATAAACTGCATAGCCTGGACTGCGCAACGCATACTTATACACATACAATATTTAGATACACGTATACATACGTATATGCCTTTACGTATTGCAAGCCGCAGACTGCGCCACATATATTCCACCACACAGTTTGCACAACATAGAATGCACAACATGTATTCTCCTTTCGAACAAGAGAATAGACTCTACCCCCCCCCGGACTTAACGCTTCCCCCTGGGATCATATAGTTTCATATGTATTCTGCACACTCGCTTATTCTAAACTTGAAATCATATCATCCCATCCAGGCTTTCCCCCCCCTGAGGTTCCCTTGTAAAAAAAAACACTATGCGGTGACATTTTTGGTTCTAACATAACACTTTTTTACGAGTCCCTTGCAAAAAATGAGACGAAGTGCGCACGCGCGCGTCGTCGCGCGTGCATGCCGAAATCCTTCAAAAACCTTCGGTGCGGGAAGGATTTCGCAATCGAGTTCCCCAAAAACATACAACAACACAAGGTTTCGCAACACAGAGTTGCTAAAACAGCTTCCGCGAAAGCTTTTGCGAAATCTTGAGAAAACCATAAGTTTTTCAAGATTTTCACAACATGCTACCAAACGGAACGCCCTTGCGCGTGTGCCGTCGCGAGAACCCCCTGCAAAAAATAGGACGAAGTGCAGACTCGCGCGTCGTCGCGCGCGTATGCCGAAAACCTTCAAAACCCATCAGTTTTGGAAGGATTTCAAAATCGTGTGTCCAAAAAACATACAAAACACACAAGGTTTCGCAACACGGATTTTCAACAAAAGCGTGCGCGCGCGCTCTTGCGTCGTCGTCGTCGTCGTCGCCGTCCTCCCTCCTCCCGCGTCGTTGTCGTCGCCGTCGTCGCCTACGTCGTCCTCTGTCTTTCCTCGTGTTCGTCGTCGTCGTCTTCTTTGGCGTCGTGGTCGTTTCCGTCGTCGTTGTCGCCGTGGTCGTCCTTCATCCTCCTCCCTCGTCGTCGTCGTCGTCCGTCGTCGGCGTCTCGTCGTCGTCCCTCCTATTTCGTCGCCGTCGTCGTCGTCGTCGTCGTTGTCGTCGTCGTCGTCGTCTTCCCTCCTCCCTCGTCGTTGCCGTCGTCGGCGTCGCGTCCTTCCTCCTTCTTCGTCGTTCGCGTCGTCGCCGTTCTCCCTCCTCCCTCGTCGTTGTCGTCGTTGTCGCCGTCGTCGTCCTCCCTCCTTCCTCGTTGTCTTCGTTGGCGACGTCGTCGTCGTCTTCGTCGTCGTCGTCGGCGTCGGCGTCGTTGTCGTCTTCGTCGTCGTCGACGTCGTCGTCGTCGTCGCCTACGTCGTCCTCTGTCTTTCCTCGTGTTCGTCGTCGTCGTCCTCTTTGGCGTCGTGGTCGTTTTCGTCGTCGTTGTCGCCGTGGTAGTCCTTTCCCCGCCTCCCTCGTCGTCGTCGTCGTCCGTCGTCGGCGTCTCGTCGTCGTCCCTCCTATTTCGTCGTCGTCGTCGTTGTCGTCGTCGTCTGCCCTCCTCCCTCGTCGTTGCCGTCGTCGGCGTCGCCGTCCTTCCTCCTTCTTCGTCGTTCGCGTCGTCGCCGTCTTCCCTCCTCCCTCGTCGTTGTCGTCGTTGTCGCCGTCGTCGTCCCCCCTCCTTCCTCGTTGTCTCCGTTGGCGACGCCGTCGTCGTCTTCGGCGTCGTCGTCGTCGTCGTCGACGTCGGCGTCGTCGCCGTCGCCGCCGTCGTCGCCGTCGCCGCCGTCGTCGTCGTCGTCGTCGGCGTCGTTGACGTCGTCGTCGTCGTCGGTGTCGTCGTTATCGTCGTCGTCGGGAACGTCATCGTCGTCGTCGTCGTCATCGTCGTCGTCGGCGTCGGTGTCGTCGTCGTCGTCGGTGTCGTCGTCGTCGGCGTCGCCGAAGTCGTTGGAGACGTCGCCGGTGTCGTCGTAGTCGTTGTCGGCGGCGTCGTCATCGTCGTTGTCGCTGTCGTCGTCGGCGTCGCTGTTGTTGCCAACTGCCATGTGGTACCCACCGTCACGGTCTTAAGAAATTGTGCAAGCCAAGTTGCGGGTGGGTGGGTGGGATGTTTGCGCGAGCATTGGAGTGGACAACTCACTGCGAACAGTAATTAATTGCACAACATAGATTGCACCAAAACGGTTGCACAACATATGTTGCACAACATGGGCGGCACAATGAATGCTCCAGAGGTGCTGCAACACGCAAGTGGGCGACAAATGCAGCAACACGCGATTTCAACCATATAATTTCCTCGATTCTAAAATATATTGTCATCCCCCCCCCCCTTCCCGGGATTACCAACCGCCCTGGGGTAGTGCAATTTACATATGGTTCCGCCTCCTTGTTCATTTGCGATTTGAACCCATACCGTCAGTTAATCGCGGTATCGGGACCCCCCTTATCATCCCTGTCAAATAATATCACGCGGTGCGAATGCGTTGATCCACTACGAGCTGATTGCACGATTCCGTACGACATAAAGCCACGCGGGCCACACGCGCGCGCAAGACGAAATCCTTCCAATACGTATGTCTCCGTAGCGAATTCAAAAAACAAAAAAAAACATCAGAACCCAATTGCGCATCGAACACCAAAAAAATCAACATTCCACCCCGCGCCCTCTTGCGGATCCTTAAGAAACGCAATGTCATGTTCAACTTTCCTGTCCAAAGGAGGCCTTCGCGCGCGCATGTAGCATGTATCCCAATGCCCTCGCGCACTTGCCAGAGGGATGTCCCTGTCAAATAATACCATGCGGGGCACCATCATCGTCATCATTGCCGTCGGAAACGTCGTGATCATTCTCATCGTCGTTTGTCCACGCCGTCGTCCGCGCTGTCTCCCGCGAGATGGACTTTGTCCGCGTGGCGAGCGTCCGCGCGCCAGTGGACACGATGAAATTATGGAAGGGGCTCCACGCTGCAACTGCACTCGCGACTTTTCATGAGTTCTGCCAACCACCGCGTCGTCGTTTGGCGACGCAAGTCGTCCGCGCTATCTCCTGCAAGGTGAACTTTGCCCGCGCCACGAGGGTCCGCGTGCCAGTGAGCTCGATCGAATGTGCGGACGGCTTCCAAGCTGCAACTGCAGTCGCGACCTTATGAACTCAGCCGCCCAAGATGCGGGTGGGAGGCTGGGATGTTTGCACCCGCGTGGGAGATGGCCACGCGCGGCGCAGCGTGGTCAAGTGCACCACGTCGATTGCGTCGCATATGTTGAGCACTACATCTATAGCATAACTTATACTGGGCAACGCCGATCCTCTCTTTCCAGCGAAATATTAGGACCTGCCGCCCCGCCCCCCCCGGATTCAACAATTCCCTTTCGTATTGTAATACATACATACATACATACATACATACATACATATGTATATATATATATAATATATATATATATATATATAATATGATTTTGCCCCGCCGTCCATCCAACCAAAAAAACCCACACCATCCCGGGCAGGTCGGTAGCGGCCGCCCTCTCACCCCCTGCCAAAAAAACTATGCGCGCGCACTCGTTTACGAAAAATGCATTTTCCAATAATCCCTTGCACAAAAAACGAAACGACGTGTACACGCGCACGTCGTCGCGCGCGCATGCCGGATTCGTTTTACATGGAAGGTGTTCAAAATCGCGCGTCCCGAAAAAAAATGAAGACACATGGCTTCGCAAATAAATGTTCAAACTGATCTTGCGCTCGGGTTCCTGCGAGCTTTTACCGTATTCTTACATATATGTATATACATATATATATATATATACAAGCCTTTGATTTTCATGAGCTCTACCAAACAGGCATCTCGCGCGCGCATGGCGACATCGCTGGAACGCCCTTGCGCGCGTGCTGTCGCAGGTACCCCTTGCAAAAAAACTGGACGACATGCGCGCGCGTCGTCGCACGCGCATGCGAAAACCCTTCGTCAACATCGCATGCCCCGAACACACACACACACATATATATATATACATACATACATACATACATACATACACATATATATATGTGTATGTATACATGTATATATATACATATATATGTATATGTGTATAGGTGTATACTACACTTGTTTTGCAACACAAGTTTCCAACAACTCCTGCGCACGCGCTCCTGCAAATTCCTTTCAAGAAGCATTTGTTTTTTCCGAATCTTCACGCAAGTCATCCAAGCGGGCATCCTCTTGCGCGCGTTCTGGGGGGGGGCGGGGCGCGCGATCCGTGCCAAATAACGCCACGCGGGCCTCTCTCGACGTTCGGCCGCGCGCGCATGTCGAACCCCTTTCCAAATCATCATCACCGACGCGAGGACGCCGTCATCGTCGTCGGCGTGATCAGCATCGGCGTAGTCGCGGGCCTTGCCGTCGGCAAAGTCATAAATCGCCACCAGCACCGCTACTACCATCATCGTGTCTACGGGTGTCGACGTTGCCATGATACCGCGCCCGCCCATGTCGCCGCCTCGCACCGAAGTGCCCGCTGGGAAGTGCCCAGCGGTCACCGCCACCGCGGCCGCGTCGGTCGCGCCGAACTAGCTGGCCGCTGCACGCGCGAGCATGCGCGGGCTGGCGCGGCCGCAGAGATGCACCATCCAACACCAAGCGCACATCGCAATCGCCGCCGCATGGGCTTATGTACACCTAGTTGCGGGCGGGTGGGTAGGATGGTTGCGCAAGCAGTGGAGCTGACAACTCACTGCGGACAGACGTTGGTTTCACAACATTTGGTTGCACCGAACATATTGCACCACGTCGGCTGCATCGCATATATTGCGCACCACGCGTATTGCACAACATAGGTTGCACAACGTAAATTACAATGCATTGATCGCACCGGTGCACAACATGAATTGCACAACATTGGCTGCCAGAACCACACTGCGTGGGGCCCACGCAGGCTAACATTACATGGCAGTCTGTATAGACATGTACATTCGTCCGTATATACGTATATCTATACAGTCATACGTATCGACATCTTACTTCAGCTCACGCAGCTCCTCCTCTGGCGCCTCCCGACGTCGGACGCGCCGATGCACTGGGGAAGAAACGCCCGGCGGCGGGGCCGAAACCGGCCGCCTTTCCCCCAGTGCATTGCAAATTTCGTCACTCCGCCTGCCCAAGATTCCCCAATCAGTGCTTGCACTGAAGGGGTCCTAGCGGAAATAAGAAAAACTTGGCGAAAAAATCCCGCCGAATTTGGTGCCCAGCTGGGTTCCCGGGTTCCCACTTCCGGGTTCCCAGGTTCCATGGTCATTGGTTCCGGTCCGACTTCGGTGGATTCTGGGTTACCGGGTTACCGGGCGATCTCCTCATCGATCTCTTTATCGATCCCACTTCAAACCATCCACTGATTGGAGTTGCTCTCCGGTGTAATCCCAGACATGCGACGTCCTGATTTTTTCAGGACGGCGCCCCCGGAAGTCCAGACCTTTCTCCCAGGGCCGGTGTTTCATCCTGAGTCGTTGTTTGACGGTGCTGGGGCCCGGCGAGGGCCTCTAGGCGTCGAGAATAACGAACAACTTCGCGCCCTGATGTCTCACGACGCCATCGTGTCTGGGATGCCCTCTCCCCTCCGACCCGACAACAGGTCTCCGCCTCCGCACGGCGGGAAGCAGCGGCCCCGCAGGCCCGGGCCACCGGGCCGCGATCCCCCCCCCCCCCCGCGGCTGCCCCGCGCACGGAGCACCATGGGCCCCCCGCGGAGGCCCCGCGCGGAGCGCCTCCGCGGGGCCCCCGCGGCGCCTCGCCTCGCCGGAGGCCCGGCGCACAGCGCAGCCGTGCGGCCGTGCGGCCACGGGGCGGCGGCCCCCCCGAAAGTCCTGGGCCTCGAGAGAGGGCGCGGAGGCGGGCGGGGGGCCCGCCGCCCGCGGAGGTCTGGCAGGGCGCCAGTCGGCGGCGAGCGAAAGGGGGGGGGGAGGCGAGAGAGGGCGCAGGCCTTCTCGGAAGGCTCGGGCGTCCCCCGACGCCCTCGGGGTCATGGAGCAACCGCGGCGGCAGGCCTTTCGCAGCCTTCAGCCTCGGGGGGCCCTCGCCGGGCCTCGGGGCCGTCAAAGAACGACTCGGGACGAGATGCCGGTCCCGGAGCGGGTCGAGACCTCTGAGGGTCGACGTCGCGACAAACAACAGGATGTCGGGGGTCTGGGCCCCCCGGCCTTCCGAGGAGCTTCCTACTTGAATGCCCGCCCTGTTTACTAAGTAGGAGGGCGGGTTGTAGGTTCTTAGAAGCTTTTATAACGTATGTTATAGACCGTTTATAATGTAGTGATCCATGGTTATATCATACTCAACCTGGTTGTAGTAGGGGCTATCCATTTAGGTGCTCCACAAGCTACTTGCTAATCGTGCCGCCTCTCGTAAACCTACTTAGCGTATTCGGCCTAAGTGCAGCTAACCTGGTTAAGCCCCCCCGAGCTAAACTGTTTACGGGTTTCGCTAAACAGGTTACGCGCACCCCCTAAACAGGTTAGCAACCTCAGAAATCAAGTTCCAGATCCTCCGAAATCAAGTTCCAGATCAATGATTTTCTAGATCAAGATTCTGAGTTTCAAGTTCCAGACCCAAGGATTTCACATTGAAAACTGTGAATTTCCTGAAGAGAATCCATCGTCTGATATACGAAACCGTTGAATTCCATTTTGGGGGGGGAGGTTCCACCACCTAGAAACCCCAACCACAACCCCCAACGTAACTAGCCGTTTTGGCTGAGTGCGTCGTGGCGTCTGCGTGTAGACGCATCAGAGCTCGCACCGTCCATGGCGTCATCCGTTGCAAAGGCCATGGCCGACGTCGAGAATCGAGTGCTGGAGCTGCTGAAATCACATGGTGATGATGGAGGATTCAACCAGTTGAGGAGCAAGGCCGACGAGTTGATTTCTATTTTGCTGAGCCACAACCTTGCACGCAAGGAAAAAATCGAGAACAAGTATTTGCGCCCGCACAAGCACAACCGTTTCAAAACGGGCCTGGACCCCCTGGACGTGCATGCCCTACTCCTGCGTGTGGCCGGCCAAGGATGGAGCTGGGCCAAAGTCGGCGTCGCTGTCTGCTTCGAGGTGGAACCGTCTGACGACAGCATCTTCAAATTTAACGAGACACTCTACCGCTGCAGCGACAACATGTTGGCACCAGTAGACCAGGCCGATGTGAGGTTCGCGACGGTCTCGAGCAGCCACACGGTTGCCATGCTGAACGCCGTGAGCGCCAGGGCATCGACGTACTTGACAGAGCTCTCGCAGGACGGGAAGCTATCGCCTGAGAAGGTGCGGATGCATCCTACCAACCCGAGTGCCACGATTTGTGCTTTCCCATTGCCGCTGCCAGAGGCGGTGAATGAGAAAGCGCAGCGCCTCGGGTTGCGAGGGGTATCCTCGAAGGTCACCGCCGCGAACCCTGCGATGGCTGATCCGCTCAAGAACGGGCTGGAGTGGATCGTCATCCGCGCCTCAGTGGACAAGCAATGGCCATCAATGGCCGACTGGCTTCAAGAAGCATTGAACAGTGGGCATGGCACTGAGCGAGTGCAAACAAAAGTGCAGACCATGCTAGAAGTGCACCAGAAAGCGATGAGGAACTTCCGTGTGTCTGGCGAATATGGTTGGGAGAACATAGCTAAGGCCATCGAGAATGACAGGCCGCACATGATTGGCCAAGTCATGCCCATCTGCACGTTCGTGGCCAACTGGAGCGGCGGTGCTTCTGGCAACTATTTGACTGAGTTAGACGCATGGGCAAAAACCCTGAAGGTGAGGAGGGACGTGTCTGGGATTACATTTAAACTACTTGCAGACCTTCGCTTCGCGCAAGGTCCCGAGATTGTGTTCGCGATGCTGAAGGCCAGTTTCGTGTCTCCTGAGTCGAACGGCGTATCGGCCCTGCTGAGCGGCCAGGACATGGCCACGGTGACGGGCAAGGGCAAGCAGAATGTCCTCGCGTTCATCACCATGCTTCGCAAGGCCAAGGACTGGCTGCGCGAGATCATGAACAGCTCCGAGCTCAGGGGCAACCTCACAGACAGCGACGTCGCCAAGCTGACAGGCGACTTCGAGGTTCGCGTCGTGATGTTTATCTTCAACAAGAAGGTGCGATCCCGAAAGGTGTGGCAGTCCCTGGATGAGATCGGCTCGCAGCTGCTGAATGACGTGTACGACTTGGCCCCTGCCGCGGCGAAGCTCGAGCCCCCCTTCGACGTGAAGGCTGCCAACCACATCAAGCGCACGGGCGTGGTCGAGCTCGCGATGCGCGGCTTCGAGGCTAAGGGCGTGGACGACGCCACGCTGATGGCGATGGGTTTCGAGGTCGGCGTGGATGTGGAGCTCGCTGCAGGCGGGCCGCAGAGGTGGAAGATTTCGTCCATCCGCAACGGCCTCGCCAAGTTGACGGTTGTAGGCCCCAAGAAGCCCAAGAAGATCACCGAGGAGACGACCGAGGTCATGACTGGCGTCCTCGTGGACAACTACAAGGCCACCGCTATTGAGCCACGCGGGAGAGAGAACAGAGGGAGGGGAGGAGGAGGGGGAGGAGAAGGAGAAGGAGGAGGAGGAGGGTGAGGAGAAGGAGGAGGACGAGGAGGAGGAGGCGGGTGAGGAGGAAGCGGAGGAGGATACGGCGGATGATGAGAAGGAAGAGGACAACACGGAGGAAGAAGCGGCTGAGGAGGAGGACGGAAACGGAGAGGCGGAGGCGGAGGAGGAGGATGGGGGCGGAAGAAGAGAAGGAAGAGGAGGAGGAGGATATCCGTTGTCAACTTCGCGTCCGCCTTTCGGAGTGCAGGGTGGGAAGTTGGATGAGGAGAGGGGGACGAATGCTTTTTTTTTTCAGTAGTACAACTACAGGAACCATTGCTATATATATAGATATATATATATATATCTATATATATATACACATCGATAGCAATGATTCCCGTAGTTGTACGGCTGAAAAGGCCAATCCCTCGAAACCACGGAAACCATGTTTTATAGAGACGCCTGGCTCTGGGGAGGGGAGAAGAGGAGGGGGGGGCGGCCGCCGCCAGGCCCTGCCGAAACAGATCACCACCATCGTGGACGTCGGTCCCACGGCTTGTTCGGCCAAGGACTGCTGCGCTCGGGAGGAGGTCGAGGAGGGATGATGGGGAGGAGGGATGGAAGGGAGGATGGGTACAGGGGGAGGAGGAGGAGGAGGAGGAGGAGGAGGAGGAGGAGGAGGAGGAGGAAGGGCAGGAGGAGGAGGAGCAGGAAAAGGACGATGAGGAGGATGAAGAGAAGGAGGGGGAGGAGAACGAGAAGGGGAGGAGGAGGAGGAATAGGGAGGACCATGTACACCGACGGACAATAATGAGGAGGAGCAGCCGCAACATAAAGATGAGAAGAACGATGAAGGGGATGGATATGGATAACACCTTGCTCACCGAGACAGGGAACGCAGGGAGAGGAGGAGGGGGAGGAGTGAGTTGTGTTGGAGGTCGGTATGAGGGTGCAGCGCCGCCCGCCCAGGACCACAAGGACTGGGTGATCGACCGCACCAAGACCGATGCCAAGCAGGCCCTCGCCGCTGCTTTTTCTATGTTTGAGCCTAAGGTCGAGCTGCGTGTGATGTTTCAGACGGGTGTGAAATCCACGCCTCCATCCGTGGTAGCGACTCGGTCGTATGAGAAGGGTCAGCTCATCCTAGTTGCGTTGAGCACGAATGTGGGGATCGCTGCAAAGGTACCCGCTAGTGCAGTTGAGTTTCGTGGCGTGTGCGGCGTGCCTGATGACTTGCACTGCTTTGCGATGCCGTACGCTGCCACGCCAGTGAGAATCGATGGGTCAGATGAGACCCAATCGTTTGTTGTGCCATTTTGGTGCGTCCCCGTGGCTACAGATGGCCACCCAGCGAACATGACTCCATGTGCTCTTTCGATTCGCTGGCAGCCTGCCGAGATTATGGGCAGGGGCAAATCCACCAGCAAAGAATTCAGCGTCCCTGCCCTCTTCAACAATAAGGCCATCGCCAAAGGCGATGCCCTGTACAAGTCGGCCGACTCGGCCAAGAGGGACGCGCCTGCCAGTGCGACCGCAGGGACCTCGAAGAAGCAGAAGCACTCATGAAGTGCCACCGTCTGCTCGCGACGGAGAGACGCATTCAGTTGTTTTTTTGGTAGCCATGAGGTGTGCCGCGCGATGGGGGGTGCATGGAGACAAGCAAGCACATAAACAAACACGCGAGACACACAAGCACATACACAAACACGTGTGTGGGGATGGGGGTCGGACATCGCCCGTGGCATGGCACGAACCCAGATTCCCAGTCACAAGTTCTCTTTGCTAGCGGCTCGGAGGAGCGCTGCGAGGAGGACGCCGCAGTTGCTCCCCAGCGTTGCTCGCGCTTCGCGCGGTCTATCACGCGCAACCCAGCGCATGGAATATAGGTATCGCTACGCGTGCTCCGAATCCGCGATCAGTCGCGACCCGTTGAGCTGTGCGTATTTGTAGGTGGTGCGATATTGGCCAGGGTTCGTGGTAATGCGCGGCTCGTTGGACTAGTTTGCGCCTGAGTTCAGACATCATGTACACGCAGTTTGCCAGAAAGCCGAGTCCATAGAACGGCTATAAGGAGCGACAGTCGAGAGGCTA